TTGCCCATCTGCAGACAACGTGTCAAATTACCAGTACAAGCTGTGGGACAACTATAGCCATCAAAACAATAATAATTATGATAATTGTTATTATTATAAATGATGTATGTATAAAATGATGTATATCTCAGAGTCCCAAAGACTATCAGAACGAGTGCCTAAGTCCTGCAAAATCCCTCAAAATTAATGCACCACTTTTACGCAGGGATAGGAAGGGGCGATGGGGAATCAGATCTCGACCCATTCACTTGTCAGAGGCAACTTATTCACGTACGCAGTCGTCTTCCTTTATTTTTTCTCTGCACCCGACTTGGTTTAAGGTACCCAAAATCGAGTTGGTGAATCGGTATATAAAGAATCGGGTACAAAACTGGACTCATTATTTCTTGTGTGCAAACGCAGGATCTTTTCAACTTCCGGTGTCTTTCTCCAGGAAATTATTTTTTGAATCATAGGATGATTTGTTATAAAATTAGAACCTATGAATTCATCGGTGATCAAATAAGAGTGATTCCTTTTAACTTTTGGCTCACCAGGCATGCGACCTGTTGGCTGAAGCCCTTTCCCCTCACTGTCTGCCTGTAGCACTGATCTCTGCAAATCGTTTGACGTAATCGAACTTTTTATATAATCTCGTGGCTTGGCATAGTCGTAACCGGCCTTGTATCTATTATTCCTACCCATATGCTTCGTATTATCGATGTAAAGAGAGTTACATTGTATCCTGTAGGAATGGTACAACATCCCCATATGATGACGGGCAATCCAGCCGCCCGTGTACCAGGAGTCGTAGTCAAAGTGGGTGTCGTAAGGAAGGAGAAATGATAACGTGTCTTTATGGAAAGCGTTAAAACACTCGTCAAAATCGTGATGAAGGTCTGTAGACCTGCTAAGATTTGTTGGTTGCCTCCCGTCATCCTGGAACCGGACGTATCCTACAGCCGGTCTAAAATCTAAGAGGAAATCCTCAAATCTTTCAAAAGTGTTATTTTTCATTTGATCCCATGGTTTCCAACTTACGTTTCCATCGTTACGCAAGGAAAGCACAATGTCGTCATCAATGAATATATAATAAAGGTATCCACCGTTCAAAGTCTGCGAGGCCAAATTAACAGCATAGTGTAAAAGGGCATTTCGTCCTGAAACTGCTGTTGAACTTGCAGCAAAAATGTCACCAGATTTATTACCAAAAGTCAACCAAAAGACGTCGCGGTCAATTGTTTCATCGAGTCCTTTAATGTCAATTTGACTCGGCCCTTGCACCATATAGACGAACCGTTTACTATTCATGTTTCTGTAATTCCGTGGTCTTACGATTTCGTACGAAGCGCTTGGCAGTAGAGACAAAGACACTAATTTTGTGGGAGACGTCCCTCGCGTATTGTTGGGACTCCAAGCTAGGATGCGGTTGACATTCACTGTTGGCCATGTTGGTGATATTCCGATGATAAATAGCACCTCGACGAAAAGACAAACGCTCTGCACCAACAGCATATATTTCTGAACACAAATCTTGGTCCAGATATGTTCGTAATGGAGAGGTTTCCGCCTCATCTCAACTTCTGGAAGGAAAATGTACACAGGGTAAAATAAAATGCCAATCTGGTCTCTGCTGAATGGGTCTTGGCATAATGAGAAAGAAAAAAATGCTTGACTGCCATTATTGCACCGGCGTTTTTTGCACCCTGAAAAGTTTCGCAAAATAAACAGTTTGACGTCAGTTTGACGGTGAATCCGCACATCTCCGCCATTAGATTTATACAAGTGAAGGTACCGCGAATTAAGTGGGTCAATGTCTTGGGCGTTGCTCACCTATAGAAACTAATGGGAACGGAATCTGTATCGAACAGAACTCTCTGGTAGACGTACCTACGGCAGTTGCTGTTTGGTTTCTCTCGGATTATTTAGTGCAGCTGTCTGGGTAATTGCCAGTTTTCGGTCCCTTACCGATCTCTTGTATACAAAAAGAAGAAAAAGGATCAAACACGTGTGAGGAAATTGTTTCCGCCTTCTTTCTGTCTCTTAATTAACAATGTAATTTAATTCATTTACTTAGCGGTGTGTAATTCGTGTTTTCAAGTACAGGTGTCTATAACTTTGATTGCCTTTTATTTTCCAAGTTAACCACAATGTTTTGAATTCTAAAACAACCTATTAAGGCAAATGAGCGCCTGATGGAAATGAAGACCACAAATTGAAGATGTAAATGCTGAACTGATAATTACAAAAGAGAAAACACATAGTTGCAAAAGGAACTCACAAGTTAAGGATATTGTAAGGGNTTTGGCCAAAACGAAGAGTTATTATCCCTTTAAGGATATTGTAAAGGTTTATTATCATCTAGACACCGAAAATGAGGTTTTTCCTGCCCCTTATTATTCAATAGTGCGTCTACCTTTGTGCTGATTTAAAACAAAAATAACCTCGAAATTATAAAATATCAGCGTTTATATTTCTCGTTGCTATGTATAAGCATCGACAAGGCAAAGCTGTTATCGTCAAATTAACATCTTTCTATTTTGAGGTGAGGTAGCACCCAGTATGGGGCGTAACTTTATCCCTGAACAATATTTTATCACCGAAATTGGCATAGTTGACCACAAGTGTATGGGGTTCAATCCCGTGCCGCCATTTTGTTTTAAATGTTTTTGTTTAGGAGTAATGAGCCTCTAATTACACATTTGTATTAAACAAAGGCATTATTTTGCCGTATCAACGATAAAATCTGAACACAGGCCTTTAAGAAAAATCGCTGACGGAGTTTTGGAGTACTAAATAGTGTCATTAAATTAGCGTTAAAACGGTGTTCAGTTTAAGGAGCAATTTGAGAAACCGATTTTTCCATTTTTATCACAAAATCGCAATTATGGCGTCACTCTTAAGATGACATGTGGCATAATATGCTGAGTAACACAATGTGACACAAAATTACTACAAATGTAGTAATAAAAATAATAAACATAGTGATAGTAATAGTAATAACAAGTCATCAAAACGACTCTAATCTTAGTTAGGATGCATATTTTTAGAATTTTCCTGGATTATTAAATTGCGAAACATTACTAAGCGATAACAATTTTTACATAAGTTTGAAAACGCTTGATTTTTCATAGTAAAAAAAAATCATCGTATTTAATATCTGCCTAAGCATGGCGTAGAATGGGCATTTTAGACTGAACATTAACACCGCTGTCAGTATGAAACCTGTCAACCTGGTAATGATAATGGTGTCATGGTTAGTGTGACAGGAATGATAGTGATTGGAATAAAAGGCCAGTGTTAGTGCATGTTATGGTCAGTCAAATATGGGGGTAAGTATGGGAATAATGTCACCTGTGCAAAGGCTTTGTACATGTACATTATTTTCACAAATTTCAAAATAAATAATAGAAATACCTTTCTCGCTTTCATACATAAAACCTTTACCTATTGCCAAAAGTGCAGAATTAATGGGCAATTGTGAGAAACCCTTGAGAGTACTACAGGTACCAATAATTTATTTCTACCACAAGTATTGAAAACGACATTCTCTTGTTTATTTGAGAAAAATACAAGAAATTAAGTGTAAATTATAAGGGTCGTCTAAGAAACAACGTAGGCTACGGGTACATGCATGACAATTAATTAATTTATTATTTTATTTATTAAATTTTATTTACTGAGGGTAAAACATGATAATTTTAAATTTTATCTTACCTATGACCCTCAAAGTACATAATAACACATCTATTAAATACATAAATAAATTAAAAGATTGTGTAAAGACTATCAAATTATTAAGAAACTTTCAAACCTGTATACATGCACATAACCGGTACGTGTACTTACTGTATATATAATCAAGGAGTTTTAAAACTCCTTGCCATAATTCTGTATGAACTGTGAAACCATGCCCCTCCCACTTTAACAGTTGTGCAGACTCCAGTAAGACCTTGATTCCACTGCTATTATATATTATTACATTTATGACCAATACTTCTGATATGAAATCACAAATTTAAAAAATATCAAAAGCATTGATGAGGCATAAATAAAAACAAGGAAACTTACATACCTGATTTTCAGACTGAGACGTGTCAACCTGCCTAATGTTTTGCTGTGTGACTGACGTGGAAGTCAGGTGTGACAGTTATGGTGGTCCTAGCAAGGGCAGATCCAGGGTTATTTGAAGTTGAGGTTCAGTTTGTTTTTTTTTTAAGAACTGACAGGCCTCATATGCAAAGCATATCGTGGTAGGCCTACTGCCTGTCAGAAACCTTCCTAGTTAGATGACTTCAGATTCTTTTATTTCCATTTTGTGTTACATTGAGATTAATTTTGACTTCGCCTGTGACGTCATAGAGCACGATGAGAGTTTTTATTAGTCTTTGCCATTTCATATGTCGGCAGGGGTCGGGGGGGGGGGCTTAAAAACAAAACGCATGATTATAGCGGCTACGTAACTTTTGAAAAAAAAAAACAACTTTTCTGACATACATGGCGCCATCCCAGGTTAGTTGTTGACGCAATTTAAATTACACCTGTGGCGTAGCTGGTACAGGATAGACATCCCCATTGATTGCACAGCTAAGCATCGTTTTCAGAACTTTTAAGTAAGGAGAAACTAATTATTATTGACTTCATGATAATGAACAGCAATAAGTTGTCAAATCGATCACTTATTCTAAACTATACCTTTTTTTATGTAAAAGGTTATTTGCTCGGACCCAGGAGAGCCTGCATTGCTACCTGCATTATAAAACACAAAGTGTTCAAAATGTCTTTTACAATTGTACATGTTATTGTACATACATGTACGTACAGTTGGTTACTAATTGTTTGGGTGAACTCGAAAACAGTTGAGATTGTATTGGTAAAAAAAAGGAGATTCCCAGATTCTAAGTCTTGAACTCCTCTCACAGAAAAGAACGCAATGTGGGAGTGAGGATTAATCATGAATCGTCGAGGTTTCTAGTGTTATGACGTCACTAGGGAATTCCCTAGTCACGTGATTGCAAACTCTTAGCTAATCCGCCATGCTGGCCTAGTGGAGGCGGTAAGCAGTTGCAGTGACTGCAGTTGTTGTAAATGTACCAGGCATTGTAGTTTTCGTGAAAATGGACCTATTTGGTGACCTACCGGAACCAGGTGAGTTTCTCTCTCTCTCTCCCCTCTCTCCCACACGCTCTCGCCATCCTGCTTGCATATAGCATTCTTCAAAGCCAAAATACAGTTTTGCTAGGCAGATGAACTTAGTAGATAATTATATTCAGTGCAATGCATGTACATGTAAGTTTCATGTACATTTTCCCATTAATGCACGTGTGGTACAGTGCATGAGAAAATGAGCCAGTGCTACTGTATACTGGAACAATGCAGTACAATACCTATATTATAATATAATTCATGTATACTGTGCGTAATATACTACCTCTGTACTGTAGTATGCATCGTTTTCATTGGTTTTTGTTTACAGCACTACTTTAAATACTAGTAGGAATAAAAAGCATATCAGGTCCTGCACAATGAAGGCTGAAAAATGTGTGTGTGTGCTCCTCTGTGTGTGTGTGTGTGTGGGGGGGGGGGGGGGGGGGGCCCTACTGTTTGTGGTAATCATCTTCAGTATGCTGATTGAAAGAAGATCTTATGATGGATTTGGAGAGAGGAAAAGGCTATAAAAATATATAAATATAATTTGTTTTTTTTTTAAGTTCTCGAGCTGGTACATGGTGGTGGACTGCCCTTCTCTCCACCCCTCTCCTCTCTCCCACTTCTCTCCTCTCCCCTTGTCATGCAGCCGGCAGTCTTACACACTGGATTGAATATACCCAATATGTATCTGCTAAGAATAAATGCTTCACAGTATGCTGGTTTACTTTTAATAACAATTTTTTTGCAGAAACTAAGAACAACAAGCCGGAGACCACATTGTCCAGAAGTACAAGTATCACAGAGAAGAATCCCCCAGGGCAAGCCCTCAGGCCATCCAAGTCTGGCTTGAACCCCAGTCAAGCTGTCTGGAGGGGGGTGAGGGGCAACTATGTCTCTGTGACACAGGGTACTGGGGGAGGGGGTCTGTTTGATGATCTGCCCCCCAATAGCAGTGAGCTGCCCGCCAATGCCAGTGGCCTGTCCTCTAGTAACAGTGATCTGTCCTCCAATGCTGGTCAGAAAGATGACACACAGCATGTAGAATATGGTGAAGGAGACAGAGGGAAGAAAAGAAAGATTGATGAATCGCAGGATGGGGCCCTTCCAGAAAATGACACTAGGGGGACCTGTGCTCAAGAGAGGACCAATGCTGAGGCAGGGAGCAAGAAATTAATAGGTTTATTCACGTGACAAGTTTGTATTCTTTGGCACAAAGTTTAGATGTGTTTACACACTTTGATTACAGTTGCTTATCTTCTGAAGTAGAGTATAGTAAAGAAGAGATGAAAGTCTAAATGTGGATATTTGGGTTTTTTTATGCCCTTAAAGGCACCTAGCTTTATGGGGGTGAATTTTTAAAATACAGATAGATCCTTCATCTTGGGGGAAAGGTACAATGAAATGTGTGAATTTTGTCTTGAAATAAGTTTCAGTGCAACCTCAGTGTGTGAATAAATTGTTTGACAAGGTTTTAACATATCAAACTTTGTGCTGAGGAAGGGATTATTATAATCTTATTGTTTTATTTATCACTTAATATTGATAAGTAATGTTATTTAAAATCATGGGAGGCAAATCATTAGACTTATTATACAAGTTCATAAAACTCCCATGAATTTAAATTGAATTTAATGGAGCTTTCATTATTTTTCCCAGTGTCAACTTCACTTTTGATTTGCAATACACTTTAAGGATTTTTTTCTTTACCACATCTCCTTTCTTCTTATTTTTAACGTTATTATTTCTCGTCTCTGTCACAGGTGGAATGTACATGCTGAAAGGTTTTGTGGCGGACAGAAAAGGAGAGCGTGAGGACATGCAAGATGCACACTATCTTACTGAGGATCTGTTACCGGAGATTGGGGTCGTAGATAGTAGCATGTGAGCATCTCTCATTAAGGATATTGTGTGTGAGATATTTGTTGAAAAAAATGCAAATTTCTATTTAAAAGTAATTTATGAGTCAACAGTCCTGTAAGTATTGTTTACCATCCATATGCCATACAGGGTTCAGGTCCAAGTTATTTAACTGATTTTAGACTTATTTTAATCTTCATATGGCTTAGCAGTATGCAAATTCAAAATATAACATATTTACATCGCCGCCCCCCCCCCCCCAAAAAAAAATAAAAAATATATAAAATAAAATAAACCAAAATAAAAAGATAAAAATACTGAATCAACTTACTTACATAGACCAATTTCAGTCACAATGTGACCATAACCCCTTATTCATTCAATAGCTCATCAGAAAACCTGCCACCTTTTTTAATTAGTTGAGTTGAAATTGAATGCAATATAATAATTCCAATTTCAGCACTAGAGTTGCATATTTTGCTGTGTTTGATGGACACGGCGGTGACAGAGCTTCCAAGTATGCTGCTACCCACCTCCACAAAAATATTGCATGTAAATTTCCCAAAGGTAAGTCTTAGATGAGAAAGGCACTTGTAATAGTTATACCTGTAAGTACTGAGGTATGTTTGTGCTTAATTTTGATAAATAAGATGTTGAGGAATTGCACATAATGTGACTTAAGCGAGGTTAAGTCTGAAATAACTCTAAATTCCTTTCCTTTTAGAAGAAGGGGGAATGGTTGTGGACGGGGGAGAGCCAATTCATTCTGTCTTGGAATTTTTGATAAAAAGTCGGTTTATTTTAAATGTTAAGTCTCTGTTGAGATGCTTGTAAGTGACCTAAGTCTGATACAGGCATTAAATACTTGGACAAGCACTGCATCTCCACAATTTTACTGACGCACATTCTGGGTATGTAACATACAACTGACATAGTCAAACAAACACTTAAGAGGACTGCACTTTTCGGGTTGTATCCCACAATAGATTCCCGGAATTTTTTGACATTGTTTTCCCAGGTGATATAGCTCAAGTTGAGAAGGACATCAAAAGGCAGCTAATAGAGGCATTTAAAAAGACAAATGATGATTTCTTAAAGTTAGCAACAGCCAGGTAGGTTTGGACATCATATTGCTAGTTATCATTACTAAGCCTACTGCATTGTGCCAGTATACAGTAGGGCATACGGATACTCTGGCTCATTTTCTCATGCACTGTACTACACGTGCATTAATGGGAAAATGTACGTGTAACTTGCATGCATTGCACTGAATAAAGTTTATTATTATCATTATTGAACAGTTGAAGTGCAAGGGAAATTATCGTCCATCAGTTAAAGTTGGAAAACATTAAATTAGAACCATATGATCCTTTTTACAATTGTATATACCAGCATGATACATGTTCATATATTGCTTTGAAAGATACTGCATTTAAATATTAATAATGATAAAAAGTACTGATGTATTTTTTGTATTGAAGGAAACCTTCATGGAAAGATGGCACTACAGCAGTGGCAGTTCTGGTGATCAACAACACATTGTATATAGCCAACCTTGGGGACAGTAAGGTGAGTCATCAGCATTGTGTTAGGTGTGACATTGTGTTAGGTGTGATACATTGTATATAGCCAACCTTGGGGACAGTAAGGTGAGTCATCAGCATTGTGTTAGGTGTGACATTGTGTTAGGTGTGACACATTGTTTTAGGTGTAACACGCTGTATATAGCCAACTGGCCTGGTTACGGTAAGGTGAGTCATCAGCAGTTTGTTAGGTGGGATATATTGTGTTGGGTGTGATACATTGTGCAAAGTATAATGCATTGAGTTGGGTGTGACACATTGTTGACATAGTGTTGGGTGTGACATTTTTTGTTAGGTGAGACAAACTGTGCTGAATGTGACGCAATGTTAAGGTATTGCCACCACTGTACTAGATGATCTGATTATCTGTTTCAAAATGAGCACATTTATAAAAAAAATTACAACGCTATAACAGTGATTGCATCCTGTTAACAAGTTTATCTTTCTGATCCATTATTTTTGTTTTAAGTACATTCAATTATCACATTTGTCTGATCTGTGAAAAAAAAAAAAATTTTGTGTATTTTAGGCCATTCTGTGCAGATACAGTGAAGAGAAGAAGTCCTATATGGCAGTTCCTCTGACCAAAGACCACAATCCAACACAGTATGAAGAGCGAATGAGAATACAGAAAGCAGGGGGCAATGTTAAGTATGGCTTTTTTAACTTAGAAACATTGACATTTATGACTTTGTGTTGCATATTGATTGAGTCATATGTTTTCATCATTTGTTTGTTTCTGTTATTTAGTTCGCATTAGTATGCATGCCATTAAGTATCAGTGCAAGAGTGTATTAATGGTTGTGAAATTTCCCACCTTTCAAAAAATGTCTGGTGTAAGGGAAAGATGAGAGTAAACGTCTAATTTTAAGAGAGTAATTTGACCTAAAAATTGTACAATGAACATCATAAAGCACATATTTGTATTAATACAAAGTATTGTCACAACTAACACAATTTCCCATCCAACACACTGCGACACAACACATTGTCACACCTAACAAACTGTCACAACTAACTGTGGTCTATTTGTCTCCAGGGATGGGCGTGTGATGGGAATACTGGAGGTGTCACGGTCACTGGGTGACGGTCCTTACAAAGCCCACGGTGTCACATGTATCCCAGATGTCAAGAGATGTCAGCTGACCAATAATGACAGGTAAATAGTGAAACAATAAAAATCAAAATGTTATTTGTTCCAAAGATTTTCTTTATTCGATTTTTTATGTAGTGTTCCAAGGTTACAATACTGGACTTTTGTCTTTATTGCCAGCCAAAACTCTCACTATTGTCATTTAAATACAAGTTGCATTTAAGGACTTTCTAAGTTTTAAAGGTACTTTATATAATTACTAAATTATCATTTACTCTAGGATCCATGTAACTTAGTGAATACATCTGTCACAGTGCTTACATTGACTGGAGTTTTTCTATTATTTTAGGTACATTTTGATAGCTTGTGATGGCCTATGGAAAACATTCAAAAGTGAAGAATCTGTCTTATTTGTAAATAGAATTTTAGAGGTACGTATATTTGAGGCTTTTGTATTGAACAACATTGTATTTTTAATGATTGTGGAAGTCAGTTTTCTAAATGAGCATTTTAAGAGTATTTGTTGTTAATCAGCAGAGAAGCGATATTTAAAGTGTCAGTTTATGACAGTTTAAATTTTGCTTGGATTTAGTAGCACCATCCTCCTGTAATTAAAAACTGCAAAGTAAATAAAATAAAATAAAATATAGAAAAAACAAAGAAAAATGCACTTCCAATTTGTCGTATTTCAGCTCCATGCAAGTAGTGATGCAGCAAATTCCAAATCAAAGGAACGTTTACACTCAGACTTTGAGACCGCCTGCGGGCGAGTGGCCAATGAGGCAGTGAGGAAGCTCAGTGCAGACAATGTGACTGTTATGCTGGTGTCCATACAGAATCCTTCTTGAATAGGTCACATATTCCAGTGACAGTTTTGACAAGGAATTGTGTTACAGTAATGAAAGATCCATCTCTGTTTGATGAAAGCAGAACTGTTAATGTAGCGGTGATTTTTGTCTCTCATGTACAAAATGCATGAAAAAAAATACAAGCTTTAAGTCATTGACTGTGAGGGCATTTGTTTATATAAAAGTAAAGTCTTTATAAGAGGGCTTAATTGTGTCATATGTAAGTCATTCTAATCTCAGGTGTAAAAAAAGTTTAAATTCAAGATAACACAGTGGAATTGCGAGAATGTAAAGCCTCTGTCACAGTGGGTTGTGAGAGATAGGAGAACACATTTTGGCCCACTCTCATTCTGATGAAACTCGGATAATATTCTCCCATAAGGGCACATTCTCAAACACTCATCAGAACATCTCACTCATTAAAAAAAAAAAAAAGATTCAGAATAGAATAGATCAGATTTATTTCTACCCAGTAACACAGATTTGCAACTTTTTGTAAAAATCCGCTGGAACCAGCCAGCAAGCAATACGGCATGCCATGCCAGGACGGAACAGAACTTCGAATCACATTAGCCGAGGATTAATAATTAACCTACAGTTTTACATCCAAACTATGTAACATAGTTGTTATACAGTCAATGAAAGATATGTGCATAGAATTAGCAGTTAAGATTGAAATATCATTACGTACACTCTACTCTCAAAGCTTAAGTCGGCTGAAATAAAGTTTGCCAACTGTAAAACTAGCTTGAACAAGAAAACACCCCAACTGACAAAAAATAATTTGGACTAAAGGTTTTGCAGTTTGAAGAGTTCAATGACATACTGTATTTTCGGAATGTGTAACGTTGAAGACATCTGTGTTGTACATTCTGTATGAACATTGCATTTTAATAAAATTTGACATTTTAAGACTGAAAAATATTTATATAAAATTCATTGCTAGATGAAGTAATGTGAAAGATTAAAAATTATCTATTAAAAATATTGTGTGGTACATTATATGAAAAATAATAATAATTACAATTTCTAATTATTTTAATATATTAAATATTTAAATTGTGTAATTATTAATAATCACAAATTGAAATGTATTGGTTTACACCCATAGTTATAAAAGAGACAATTTAAGTACAAAGTGAGAAATCCGACTTGCCAAATGTAACACAAAACTAATCCCAATGTCCCAATGAATTTCTTCTACGTTCTATGCTCGTGAACATCAAGATTTCTTTCATATAAGTAAAACTCCTGAATATTTAAACTGTCTTAAAGTCCATCTGACTTCTAGTGAGGCTGCATCTTATGAAATGAGACATCCTCCCTCTGACTGTGGACCTTCTTCATCAAAAACTTCATCAGACGGAAGCTTGGGGATATCATCCAGCACTTTCAGCTGTGGTAAAATTTTAAACACCCTGAAAAAAATTAGATTATTATTTTTTTTTTAGTTTGTTTGTAATTTTGAGGATAAGAAATTTTTTAAACAGTTTTTTAAAAATAACTGTTAGGATTAAAGGGATAATAACTCTTCGTATGAGATCTATATTTCACAATAAAAACCTTGTGAATAACTCGTAGAAATATAATTTATTCTGTTTTACTACAAAAACAGCAGTTATAGCTTTTATTCTGATATCTGAACTTGTCTTTAGACCACGTGACCTCCATTGATGGCTATACTCAACAAAAAACCAAACTTTTTAGAAAAAAACCAGGGACTAACTTTGAATGTAAAAATGGATTCATTAACCATTGGTAAGTATGGGAAAATTGTTGTTTACTCCAGGAAAATTCATTTTTTGGCCGAAACAAAGAGTTATTATTGCTTTAATATGGTCTCTAATAACAATTTTTTAATGAAATTTGTAAACACTTTTGGAAAATTAACATAGTTAACAATAAAATAAGACATAACATCCATTACAAAAATAAATATGTACATAAATAACAAAAAGAAAAAAAATTATATATCAAAGGGTACCTTGGTCTATAATTTTCAGTAAAAGCCACAGGGTTTCTCTTGAGGTTTAATTCTCTTAGCTCTGTTTTCCTCAAATTATCCAATCCATTCAGGTTCACTATGTTATTATCTGATATAGTCAAGTACTGGATACGTGGAATTTTGGGAAGATCCTGGAAGAGACATAACTGTAGTATATCACTTTGAAAATATGAAATTATCACACTTCATTATTCTTACAAAAAAACACATTTAAAAGTTTGAATTATCACTCATTATAAGCTGCAGTAAAATCAACTAGATGTAACCATCATACATATTACTATTTCTCAAAACTGTATATACAAGTATGTAACCACAATATGTCTTTAAAAAAAGGGAAAAAAAACCTCACCTTGAAAGAAGAAATATAATTTCTGTTAAGATTCAGATGGGTGCAGCTGAAATGGAAAGATGAAGGGTCAGATATACTTGTATTCTGTAAATTTTAAAACCAACTTAATCACTATAAAATGCATTATGACCCCAAGGCACTGACAAGAAAGATACAAGAATCATGTAAGCTGCTCAAAAATGTCGTATCATCTTAAAGTACTACAACGACTCTTTAAGTACTAGCCAGTATTTTGAAACAGGTTGTTAAAAATTACCTTAATTATGTTGAGAGTGGGGTTTACAGAGAATCTTAACAAGAAGTGTGGATGTATAATGGACCATCTTCTCCTCAAACAGGCTATAATTTAACACTTTTTATTAACAAAACATAGCTTTGCCACACACAACTGATCAATTTCTTCTAGTAACCAATAATACTAGAAATATAATTTTCTTCAAATGTTGAGTAAGGCTAACTTACAGTGGAAAAGAAAAGCTGCTGAGCTCTGTCAGTTTGTCTTCCACTAGGATCAGATCCTGGACTCTCAGCAAACGCTTCAGGATACGCTTAAAATTCTCTCTCTGGTATGCATCCGATAGCTCTTGGAAGGAAAGGTTGCAGACCTGAAAAAATCATTTGTAAAATCACACATTGGTTTATTAAATTAATATTTGACTTTGAACAAAATAAAGACAGAATTTTGGGTTGTGAGAATTCAAAGAAATTAGGCAGAAATAGGTTGGTGGCCTTACAATGAGTGTTGCTATAGTTGAAGAACAGCTAAGCAAAAATCAGATTCAAATTGGAAAAACAGTTTTCAGTTTTAACTCTATAGTCTAATCCACCCTTACCTCTGCCTGTTCCCAGTTTTCTGTCTTATCTCTGTAGTCCATCCTCTCCTTGCCTTGCCTGGAATGATGGAGTGGTCGGTCACTGGCGTCCTTGGCCGAGTAGAAGGTCATTTCTTTTTCTTCTGGGGCTGTGGGAACAAAAGGACAAAAATAAAACAATGTTAAACACCAATGATTTTTCAATAAAGTTCGGGGCAGCATGGATAGAGCAGAAAATCATTCCAAAAGGAAATTAATTTATATAATTTTTCAACTAATGGAGAAATTTTTATCTAGAAATAACCTATAATAATTATTGCATAAATTCAGTCAATCCATTCAGTTTTTTGAAAGCTAAACCCAGAGATTTAAGATGTAACATAAGAAATCAGACACATCAGCTCCACTTTTAACAATAAAACTCACAAATTAGAATTTTGTGCTTGTGCAAGTACTGGTATTTAATAGGGGATACTATGAATGCATGTTGCCATGACAACAAATAAATGGACACTTACCTTCTCTGACCCTCGGAGCATGCAGCTGGTTGCCATGGAGATCAGTGTGCGGCAACTCATGCCAGTTTGTGTAGCAAAATCTGGCAGAAGGGAGCTAAAATTGGAAGTCATACATCAAACTTCACTTTCACATACAGTAAATTAAAACTGATTATAAACATGGTATACTGATACTTTAAGAAAATATGACAAACCAAAACCAACACAGTTCAAGCCCACTCTACAGTCAGGTTTAATTTGCCAAATAGCTGTAATATGTAAGCAAAATTAATAATTTCAATTAAAATGGCTTTTAAAAATCCCCTACTTCAGCCAAAATAAGTAATTTTCAGTAATAAGAGAGACTTTAAGAATAACATATAGTTTCTGCCTGGACTGTGGACTTCAAAGGAATTAAGATGTTTTTGCATATAGACATTGGTGATTCAAATATCACAGCTACTGGGGTTTCTATAATTAAGATTTTCCAAACTAGTTTCTCTTCATTTAATCTTCCTTCTGATAAAAAAGTAAAGAAGCCAATATTATAAAAGTTATGACCAAAATATTACCTTGGGTAAAGGCTTTCCTAATTTATTTCTCTTCAGTTGTTCCTCGTAAGCACTGATCAAAACCAGAGGAACATTGGTGCCGCTGATATCAGAGGATGGGCGAGACGAGCCAGAATTCCTCGTGGCATCGGTGAATTCTGATGAACTTGAAACAAGGAAAGAAATTAATAAATTCCTCATTCATCCTTCAATACAATCTAAGTATATCTGTGAAACTTTGAAGATTGTAATCATTGTGGTTAAATCAACCCTAATTCTTGTAACAGTAGGAATTAACAAATGTACATATACTACATTGATATTTTTAGGGAGTATATGTACCATATTTGAATGTGTTATAACATTTACAAGGTAAACAATGCATTAACTTATGTATTAAAGAATTTACAATGACCAAGTCTCTGGTTTATTTGTCAATATTTTCAGTACACATTCCACGTCATAATTTCTGATGGTGAGATTAGAGTCTGAAATCATTCAATGTTTTATTTTACCTCTGACAAGTTAAACATATCTTTATTTTAATTGGTTGTATTTAATCCACCTACATGTACGTAAGTCTAGAAAAATATTGAACTTGATGACTAAATTCAAATAATAATAATGCAAGTTTACTTTTCGGACATCTTCCTACAGTCTGGAGTGGCCTTCACTACTATCTGGGGCTACACAAATGCATCCGTACACACATGATACATGAGGCAGTAATGTACTGAAAAAACCTCACTTCTGAAAGATAAAGTTACGTATATGACAGTATCTAGAATTTCCTTGTTTGTTGTTGTATCCAATTTGCTTGGTATACTCCTTTAATAGTCATAACTGTAGCACTGATAAGTCTTGCACCTTGTAGAAGTACATGTACAGTACATGTACCCCAATAGTACATTAAAATTACTATTACTCACTCAGTATGAGAAAAAAGCTGCAATTTTTAGCAAGTTAAGAAAATGAGTATACAAGAAATGTTCTGTGTACAGCAATTATCGAATCAATAACGCTCAAATATTGTAAAATTTCCATACCTTCGAATTCCTTTCACAAGCACCTTGCACAATAAATGATGACGTCATCAATTACAGCGCAGCAACCTGCAAACAATTGATCGGCACATCTAACACAATCAAAACTGCTCAGCGCCCGCAGAGCAAATTGCGATTTTTAAAAATATTTCACTTTATTTCGTTCTCTCTTATATAGCTTTGACTTATTGTGTTTCTTATTATTTTATTATTTTTTCTATTCGCGGGTATAATATTATGCAAACCAGAACACTCTATTCTGTTAGTATAAATTTGCACAGCTATGGCATGCGTCTCCAGAAGTAGGCCCCTACATGTAGGCTACATGTAGGCCTACTACATGTAGCCCATAAGACACAATTAGTAGGCACTATTCCCAAAATGCTTTATGTAAACAAGAAAACAGAGAACTCAAAAAAGAAAAAAAAAAACGCTCAGCGATAGGTGAAGTCTTTTTTTTTTACTTTGAAAATCAACCGACTGATATTCAAATAGTGCCAAAACTACTGACCATGCGGCCAGAGAATACACAGTATTATTAAGTCCAAATCAGTGCTCTGAAACAGTAAATCAATCCAGATAATAATATTTAAATAATGCGATAGACAGCTTATTATTAGATAGAAGATATTTTTTACTTGAATAAACGCCATCTAAGTAAACGGAAAAATTAAACATGAATTACACCGATAATACCAACCCTTTCTAGTGATAAACAGTGACTCTTTTTCGCACTGCAGGAATAGACAGTATAAATGGTCTAATTAAATATCTTTCATATAGTAAGGAGCAATAAATGCATACATTTTTCTTGCATTTGTAAACGTTATTTTATATTACAAATTGAAATTCATACACATATCCACATACTTGACATTTGACTATTAGTATGTAGGAATTGATATATTTATCTTTAACCGATCGCGCCAAAGCTTGCTGTTAGTAAATTGATAAATAAATTAACCTTACACATGTACTAAGTACAAGGAACCATAGTGCCTTAAATGCAGAGCTAAAATAACATCATCATTTATTACACGAATAAATATGAGCTGCCAAAAATCTCAGGAATGTTTTTACGAGCTACATGTACATGTACTACATGTAATGGTCATCCCTACCACTAAAAGAAAAATTCTCAGAACGAAATTCTCCACCACAATAAGTGACCGCTGGAGCTCAATGTAATGTCCACGCCGTCCAAAAATATGGCAAAATGAACAGAATTCTTTATTTCCTTAAATTTTAATTGTATTCACCAATAAGTCCAGTCCAATTTCCAGCAGTTTTAATCTATGAAACAATAGTGGGCTATCACGAAACTCTTCCATCCTATAAGATAATGATCATCAATGGCCATTAGAGGCTACTCCAATCATGAAATTAATCTTAAAGTGTTTATAAGAATGTTTTTGGCCATTGGTATTCAAGAAATTCAGTTAGATAACAAATTTTGTAAACTTCCATATGGTGTTTTAATGTCATTGACAGTTGAATTTTCTTGATCTGTTCCCTTCGTGCTTTCCGACACGTGTAATAAGATATACTTTCAGTATATAACGGTACATATGTCCTGTTCTTTTGAAGAAAGCCAAACGAATTCGAGTTGAATGTTCCAATATATATCGTTTCATATAATGATAATAATAATATTCCATGTCTATTTTTTGGAGCGTGTCGATCTCTTCTTTTTCATAAGTCCCAAGTTTCTCTGTATTTGTAGGTACGGGTTCACGTATTCGAAAGGCATTTGGGGCATCCCCTGAGGATTGGGCAGCCACTGGTTCCTCATCCCGGGGGGAGAATACTTCTTGGTCCGCGCAAACCTTACGTAGTAAGACGGCATCTTTTGAACTCTGGGGTAGCCGCTGCAGTAGAAGACCACGGAGCACTCCTCACCCGCGCCGAAATACGGAATACCGGTAGTGTATCCTAGATAAGCTGCGTCTCGGTACGTCCTACCATATTGTAAGGGAAGGAAGTTTCTGATGGGGTCAATTCGCACTACACCGGAACAGTCAATTGGACGCCCCCAGAAGTAGGGCGAATAGTGGAGAACGCACGCAGGGTAACACTCGTTTCCGCAAGCGTCGTACGCGCGTATATACGAGTACGTGCTAAATCCGCTGTATTCCGGGTTGCGGACGGCGACGAACGTTGTAGCACTTGCTATGGGTTGGCGGGAGTCCACGATGGCGTAGTCGTGGTACTCTCCGATGTAGTTCAAACCCATAGCTTGAACTGTTATCTTTGCCGCCCCGCCGCAACATTCGCAGTGGATGTCACAGTACTTGGCCGTTTTGTTCGCTTGACTCATGTTGTCAGCCGGATACACGTAGTCGTTGGAGTTGTTGGCATACCTGGGCAAAATAAGAAGGTATTTTAGCTATATGTTATCGCATAAATGCCCTTACGGATGTGAGAGGTATAAACAAAAGAAGTGAGACTTTGAACAAGAAAACGGAAAATAATAGGACACAATACATCACAACACAACGCAATGCATCACAACACAATAGGACACAACACATCACAACACAACGCAATGCATCACAACACAATAGGACACAACACATCACAACACATCACAACGCATCATATTTACAACGAGAAGCAGCGCAAATTAGGCTACAACACCACAATGATGCAGACACAGATAGAATTTAAAAACAAACAAATAAATATGTCATACGCACCTGCTTGGGTCGACCGAGAAGTTTCTGGGCACCGGTTTTGTGTACCAGTCGCCGTAAGTGGGAAACATGATAGGCCTGGAGTAGATAACCTTCACAGGTAGGTACGCCCACTCCCTCTCGTCACACCTGTACTGCCCACTAGCGTCTATCAGGCAATAAGAGTTTGTCTGTTCTTTTTCTCCCACGAATCCACCGCAGTTTTGACGACAGGGGGCAGACCGGTCCCAGCGCTTGGTAGTAACGCAGATGTAATCCGGTCGACGGCAGTATAAGTAGGGGGAGCCACAGTCGGGGTTCTCCGCCGTGCACGTGGGCCGTGGCGCATACTCGTAGTACGTCTCAGTATACTCGTCGCTGCATCCGTCGATATTGCGCATGCCCCAAAAAGGTCTCATTGGCATATAGGGGGCGTGTTGCCATGGTCCGAAGAAGGCCATTGGGTAGTCCAACTCACAGTCCACTTTCCTCTCCTTCTGTTTCTGGCGAAACCCTTCCCACAGAAAGTCGATAAAAGCGTGGAACATGTAGAACAACGGATCATCCGGCGCGGTGTCTAGAAATTCCATATTCCCGCCAACCCAGGAATGAACGTCGTCGTGAGCCACCTCCAAGAAACTGCCAGAACCTGGTGATGAGAGAGATTCAGATGTGATTGCATGAATTGTTATAATATCAGTTTGGGATGATCCCAGTAGTTATGAATCACTACAACTACTACACAGAGAGGGACGCATCCGGTGTAATTGACAGTGTTGCCAAAATTTTGATATACACTGTTGTTTAAAAAGTTTTATTGGATGCGTTTTCTTCTCAAACAAAACCAACTTCTCAGATGAGGTTGAATTTGGTTTTGTTCCATGGGTTATAAGTCAACGTGCTATTTCAAGATATATGTATCTAGTTTTTTACTGCAATTATGAAGAGTTTACAATCTCAAAAGCCGGCGGTACCCAGCAATCATTTGCCATAAGAGACAAACTTTTCGTTAGGATCATCAGGAGATGTGTCGAATGTATGGCTTTTGCATAGAGTTCTGGTAAGATAAACGGAGAAAACCACTCAGCCAAGCTTCTACTGCCCATAAATACATACAAGAAGGTCTGACCGCAATAAACTTTTGAGTTATATCTTTTTAGGAGAAATTAGGTGAAAAAATGGTATGCATAAAGTGTGTTATCAGTTACGCTTTTTGCTTTAATTATGAAGCTGAACGATGCGTATATGACAGCTACATGTACCCTGAATACTAAATGCAGTTAATCCAACGTTACATTTGTAAAAAACCCAAAAATGTCAAATTAAATTGTCGACTTTTTGTTGACACAGCAGATAGCACATCTCGTTATTGTAATGGAAAAGATAAAGTGGCATTTAAGCACAATATATGTAACATTCATTAGGTTCCGTCTGACAAAATACGTGTCCGTTTCAGGCGTTTACGCGACTGCATATTGTCTGGTAATGAGGGGTGGCAATATTTTACTATTCTTGCAAATAGCGAATCAACCACGCCACCAGGTGGCAAAAGAAATTTTCCAGAAACGTCAAATCTGAGCTAATTGCACAGTGTACATGCGATATGTTTTTTTTAGTTAAAGAAGACTATGTGCAAAAAATGGCCAAAGAAATGGGTAACGAAATCGCGTGTGAAACAATTTATTGACGCAAGTTGGACCCATATCGGTTCAAAATTAATCTTAGTCTGAATTCACAAATTTCCCCCTACCTGGACACGAGATATGTGCAAGGTATCGGTAATCTCCACTAAGGATTTTATCCACAATCTTATCATTCATCAGTCCGTACACGCCCGACCGGATGTTCCGGTACAGCGGAAATCCGGTGTTGCCGATCCAGGATTTGAAGGGACCACGTGTCACTTTGCCGTCCTCCGTGCCTAGGAATGTGTCCGCCCATAGAATGGAGTTTCCGGGGTCGCCCTTCAGTCGGGCATCCAGCGTGGTGTCCCAGTATGGCAAACTGACGCTGGGATCTATGCGACGCAGTGCGATCTCGAATCTGTGAAAAGATCGATTTTAAAGTTTTAAAGTTCAAAGATTTTAGAAAAAAAAATGGATGATGTCCCAGTTTTATGAATGACAGTCAGATTTGTCATCCGATGAATGATTATGTAGAATATTAAAAAGAAACGTAGTGTATAATATGGTATTCAATAAATACAACCCGTGGAGTAATTAATATATATTAGGCCCCTATAATTTCAGTAGTAATATGAACAGTTTTCCGGTATTTACATCTTTGACGCGTTGTGTTGGTACAGCAACAATAATCATGCAAATAGTGCTTTTGCTATGTAGGTCACGTTTGTGTTCACCTACATTGTAACTTCGGCTTATTATGCCTATATTCCATTTTGTTCTTAGAAGTTAAATGCAAAGAGCATAACAGTACGATGTCCTGTAGCCTATACCCCAGTTAACCGCTACATGACGGTCATATTTAGGGATCAAGGCCAAAGTCAAAAATGTTCTGTTCAGTATATGGCCTTCCGGTTTGTATTTCCACAATAGGCCTATATATTTATAAGCCTTTTCTCCAAAAATTTGTACTACCTGTGCATGTAGTATACTGGGTACCCGGTCCGAACATGTATATTGAACAGATGCCAAAAAAGGCAACGGGGTTTCGCTTAAGACCTACAAAGTAAATGATCTGTTAATTCGTTTTGATTGTGAACTTTCGACCGCTCTTCACATTTTTGTATAGATTGGGTAGTAACGGGAACACAGAATGTGGACGTAAGCCGTGTCATCGGTTTCAGAAGATTGTCAATGGGTACTTTTAAAATATTTGTCAACTTTTAAGTGAGTGCGTAAAGAACGCAAAACCACAAATTAAGGATGGTTTTGGTCGTAATGCATCATAACGTACTGCCTATTAATTGTTATCGTTTTCTCTTTAACTGCAAACAATTTCAACTATCTAATCCAATCCACATGGCATGAGTGGAGAATCGGGTTCAGGCAGTGACGTCATCGTGCAATGACGTCATTGTCATGACAACCAAATACAGATTAATGTCCAATTACAGAATGAACTTGGTTATCCTTTAGTGATCCTAGTTTAAATCCCGATCTTCTAATCTCACCATCATGATCTGTCATAGATCTATGACAGTCTCTTGAAATGATTGTCTTGTATACTGTTTATCCTGATGATTTGTAAATTAGACTTTCAGAAGAATTGAAAGCATTTCGGTATTTGCAATGTCAATGTCTGTCACGTACGTCAGAGAAATCATTGAATCTATTAGAGAACTGTCAATGTAAAGGCACGTATTAATTTGAATGGCGTTATTTTCCTCTGCCAATAATAGTACCCAACTATTCTGAAGAGAGGAGAGAGAGCTGAGGCACTGTTTTTGAATTGTTTTCACTTATTCGAACTGAAGCACGAATGTCTATAATAATAATAATAATAATAATAATAATAATAATAATTTTGTACTCTCTTTCCTCTCTTTTTGTACTCTCTTTTTATGATACGACACAAATAATTTTTTTAACTTTTCCATAGAACAGTAATGTTTCTCTGTAACAACTATCAAGTTTAGGTTAATGTTCGACTTAAATGGGGACACATACTACGTAGTCAACGCTGTGGCATTATTCATAAGTGTGTTTTGCTTTTAAATTTATAGTGCACTTTGATACAATTATAAAAAATATCACATGAGGTGAAATGTCCCGTTTTATACCTCGTATTTTTGTGCAACATAATGAGCTGTTGCGTACCATACGGCACACCCTGTATAGAAAGTATTCATACAGGGTGTATCTTTAGGTTAATACCACCCATTAAGCTCACTTTAATGTGCTTACTGCATTTAGGGGTGTTGGGTTTTAAATAAATACCACCTGAGGGTGTGAGGAGTTTGCATCAATAGTCAAAACAAGGTAGCAAAAGGGGGCACAATATTGTGGCCGTATTAATAAGTTCATTTCAACCGTCAGTTTGGGGTATTTTATATCACACCTCAGATATATTTCATCTATAATATCACATTCTCTTCAATTTAATGTGAAATAGAAAAATAGTTCCTTGTTATCAGCAAAATGTTTTTGTATTGTATGTCAAAATTACTTTCCTAAATTAAATGCGTTAACCTCAATGACTTACACTGTTTAGGTATATGTCAAGATATAAAATGGTCTAAATTGGCTCCATTTAACCTTAAGGTTCATTCTTGTTTAAGATTAATTTACTGATAGAATTGCGTGAGTTAATGCCGTAAAAGTATCTGGAAAATACGGCGGCCTTCTAAGGTGAAAATAAGGACATTTTGTTAAAAATAACAGAACAAGAAAATAAATTAAAATTTTCCCAGGCTTGAATAGCTGACTTTGTTTCGTTTATAAGATGAGAGTGGCTGGTAATTGCCTTTTTTCGGTCCGTCTTGTTCTATGCGTCACTGAAGACCAACTGTCATGTGGATTCGCCATTTGTTTGTGAAAACGGAAATTGTTTTGAATAAAGGCATGGTTCTCTCAATCTCCATAAAAGACAATTTTCAAAGTAAGTCCGTGGACAATACAACTTTCGAGCAAAAACTCTAATTGTGACGCTTCAAAGGTAAATGAGATTCTCGGAACTTATGAGAGGATTTATGGTGAGAGAAAATGCGCCATACCTTAAAGTATTCTTCAACCCGGGACACTTTGAAACATAAGATACATGCTACCTTGAATGTCGATTTGGTCCCTTTTGGAACGCGGGGAGAGATGAGGTGGGTGTGGGTGGTTTTTGGGTAAGGCACCACAGGGAAAGGAGCCTTTATTCATTTCTGAAACTTGATATGACTGAAATTTTTATCGATCTTTTCTAAAATGAATAACAAAAAGACAAGACAGCACGTGGGCAATCAACAGACGGAAACACGGCAATGAACTTTGTTTTTCATATTGATTGAAGGTATTAGAAAATGTTGGGATAGCGAGCCGGGTTGTAAGTACTTTTGGCAGATTTTTAAGGAGAAAAGTTGCCAGAAATGTGACAATATTGCAAACTGTCAAAATTAGAAAAAATACTGTAGTAAACTAGGTCACTGAAAATAGTATGTTTGCTGGTAATAATAATATTAATAATAATAATAATAATAATAATAATAATAATAATAATAAAATTGAGCACAATACTGTCTTCATATTCATAGGCTCTCTAAATACTACACGTACATGTAGCATCTTTTTCACTTGAAGTGTCATCGATGCAGTTTATACGCCATTAATGGTCAACTTGATGTCATCCGTAGCGGAATAACTAGTGAGTATGACATTCAACCAGTGACACGTATAGTATTTTAATGATACTTGAAAGGCGTACTTAAAGCATCACCCTGATATCAGGGTACCTTTGCACGGTTCACACCCTAGAAGTACATGTATCTTCGTACACTGTAACAAGGACAGAGTCTCGTGGATAAATTACTTGTAAATTGAAGCTTGAAGCTAGCTGTGACCCATGGGAAAAAGAAGCAAGATGGAAATCAGCATTGGCAGTTCTTCCTATCGACAACAAATTCCATTTAATGGCTAAATACCTCATATTTCTACTTATTCCCCCAACGACCTCAACACAGGAAAGCAAACTAAATCAAACGGTTGTTTCAAAAAGCGTGGAATATGCGTTAATGGCAAGAGAGTATGGCTTTGAAGACGGATCAAATTCAGTTAAATTGGTTCTTCATTGTCTCTTGTATAAGGACACGTGGTTTTTAAATCATCCTTAAAAAAGGTAATCGTTTGTAAAATACTAAACGTGTTTCAACTACGAGGCTTTGCGTTTCGGCACTTCATCAAATGGCCTTGGTCACACAAGGACAAAGCCCTTTGATTAAGGGTAGAAAAGTTACGCCTCGTAGGTATAAAAAAAACGTGTTTGTTCTCTATATAAACGACTTACCGTTTTACCATAAGTCAAATAATCCTTTGTACAATGTAATATAAGAAAGCGCAGAATCCCCTAGAGAAAGTGATTTATTTTAGGAATTTAGGAATTTGTACCCTTTATATGCAGACCCAAATTATACCACGGAAATAAAACATTACCATGGAAACGGGCGAAAATCGAAATACAAAATGGCGGATTTTGTAGGTTTTTTGTACTCCTGGCCACAAAATGTGAAGATATTTTTACTAAATTAATCACCATACGCGATGTTTTAGATAATTTTGTCAATCATCTTAAGCACTAATTCAGAGTTTGCGGCTGCCAATTTCGGCCTTTGCTGCTCGCCCAATAAGACATCTGAGTTTCAGGATATAAAGAATATAAAATCAACCAACTGTGAACACCATATGATAACGTAGTCTTCCGACTTGTAGTTTAATCTTAATAGGATTGTAATTGCAAATGAACAAGTTTAATTCATACCATTAAGATTCAACGGTGGGTATGTCAACCAAAACGCGTGCCCTAGCGACTCAATACTTGTGGTTGGACGTACACAGGAAACATTATTGTAGAAATTCACCTTTTCAACTTTATTTGAAGTTAATGGATAAAGAGGAGGATAATGAAGAAATAATCCTCACAAACCCTTTACATCACATTAACCACATGTACCATGTTCTTAAATTTCATTTAAAGGTAATACCTCTTGAGCTGTAAAAATAGGATGCAAATGAACTGGCATTAAGACTTTGATGCTTAATCAAAATGACATTGTCCAAAATACGCTTTGTCAACATTAGGTAATTGACATTTTGTTGGATGATGGCCCTCTTTCCGGTAGTGTTTTCGTAAACTAAAAAAAGGAACATTTTGAACAGTCTACCAGGGTGTATCTAGATAAATAAAAAAGAAGGACAATCCTCCAATAAATTTGGGATTGTCAACCAACTGATTTCAAACCGACGATTACAACATTCCAGGTCTGTTAGACAGCCGAATTAGTCATAATATTAGAAGAGACAGTTAATATAAATCAACGACAATTTATGTCCGAAGCTTTGGAATGTGGACCCCTTGCAGAGAGCGGATGGCGCAGTTATACTTGACAAAAAGGACTAAGGTCAATTTGAGGGTACGCGTAGAACAACTCCATTACAATTTCTTTCAGGCCATAGATTTATACACAGCATCAGATAGTACACTGTACAAAATGATGAAGAATTGTATTATATATGACATATTAGTATAACTGAATTAACATCTAAATCAGTCAAAATAAAGCATTTATCAAAACATCTGCCACGTACCTTCTGAGAAACTCTCTATGCCAGGGAAGGAAGGCCGGGCCTTGGTGGTTGGCCGGGGCGTTACAGCTGAGATGGAGACGCGTAAAGATATCGTACTGACTGATACCTTCGATGTAAATGGTCTTCATTTTGTGCAGGGCGGCGTGGAACCTCTTTCTCTCTGAGTCTGTCAACAGGCGATATTCTTTCCTCGTGGCCCGCGGGAGATCGTAAGGAGGGTACGGCGTGGCGCCGCGTCTCGGTCGAGATTTCGAAGACGGGCCAATTTTAGCCCTTCCTAGTGATTCTATCCATTCACGTGCAGATTTCGAAAGTTCGGCAAAAGGCGGGAGTTTTTCAGGTTTGGTAGAGTTTTTATTCGCGTCTTTAAAGATAAATTCCTTTGTGTCGTCTCCTGATCCTTCCTCATCCTCGTTGCTGATGTTCACCGGCTCTTTACTTTTGCCTCCTTTGGCCTTTGGCTTGCCTGCCTGTCTACGTTCTCGTTCGTGGCTCTCAGCTTCGGTTTCGTTTTTGTCATCGGACCCGTCCCCGTACAACCAAGTATCATTCTTATCGTCAAGATGAGGATCTATTTTAAACCATAACTTCTGTAGTCTCTTGAGGCAGAAATTATCCCGTTCTTTATCAGAATAATCCAGCAATGACTCTTCCTTGTCGATTTCTTCTTTGCAGGCGAAATACTCTCCTAATTCGGGTATGGCCGATTTACGGACAGGTTTCACGAGATCCTTTGGGTTCGTAGGCTCTTCTTCTTTGGCTTTAACTCCACAGCTTTCGGAAATGAGCAAGGAAACAGCCACGAGAGACAAAACCGTGAATCGGTACTGTCTCATCGTCTTTTTCGTTGTCTTTAACACATGGGCGGGAAAGCACGTACGAAGAAAGCGCCAAATCTTTGTAAGTCAGTTGGTGAGATTCAGACTATTGAGCAAAAGCAGCGACGGCAAACCAAACGCACAGTCGCACTAAAAATAAACGCCGTCGCAGCTAAAATAAACAACAGTCAGCGCCTTCAGATTTATGGTTTGAAAAGCGTCTAGGTGTCACAGTTATCGTCCTTAAATGAGACCCGAAAGGTACCGCCGACGTGAGTTGATTTCCATATGGTCCTCACAGCTGTGGTATCTGTAACACGCAACCAACCTCAGCCCTGAGTCAGATTTAGGCGTAAAATAAAGCGGCATTTAAAATGTCCCAATCTGACTAATTCCCCTGGTTAATGACTAGAGATCCATGCACTGAGGACGTGTGTTCTAATGGGAGTTTTAATCTGTGGTTTATTTAGGTACACCTTTCAGTGAGCATGGCAACTGGAAATTTACCTCGCGGCGCTTGGCATTTATTGAAAAACCCATTAGATATGGAGGACGAAAAAAGCCAATAAAAGTAAAAACCATTTTGTCTATGACACTCACATTACAGAAACTATGCTTGATTCGTAACGAAAAACGAAACATTAGACAAGATTTCAAATGGCAATGTGATTATCTTTTGCAGCGTACAAGATCGGTGATCAGTTTGACCGTTTCTGAACAGCTCACCAGTTCTCCATAGACAACAGAAAAGTAACGTCATTGTTTTAATAAATGTAGCGATAAACAAATTTTAAACATTTTGTTAATAGCTGGGTGAAAAACAAACCGTAGTATTATAAATGTGGATGTATAGATTGAAGGACCTTTTACAATTAAGAAATTTGCTCTTAGGGTATCCATCATCATCGAGGCACTCAGTGTAGATTGAAATAGGCCTATACATAATTGAAGAAATCGTGGTGAATAAGGTACACTGCGTTTAACTACTCACACCTGTTCGTTTCAAATATTAGATATAGACCTACTAGTACTACACTCACGGAAAGCTTCATACCATTTCACTCCATTAAAGCTATCACAATTTGCCAGAAAGGATTCTGCGGAAATCGATCAGTCTAAACTTTCTATTGATCACAATGACGGGTGGTATATGTGAGGGATCCCGTTGGTAGCCTCAATCACAAACACGTTAATTAAGACATAAAAAAGTGGCGAGGATCACCCTGAGTTCTACAGCATAGATTTGTAGCACTGCTCTCCAATTGAGCGGTGACATAACGCGTGTGCTGGATAGAGGTCATGGATATCATCCGGGACTTTGCACAAAGTCTCGCGACTTAACGTAAAATCCAGCAAATATTCGCGGGATTTGGAAGAGTCTTTAGTCAAAATTACTGCAGACTTGCGCATGCGGTGAAGCAATAATTAAAGGTCGACAGTATTTATCCATGGATGTATTTTCTGGATGTTTCCTCTTAAGTTAGAAATGCGATCTGTAGAAATGCATACGGTACGATTTTACCATTCTTCTTTTTTTTGCATTGCAATTGCTTTTTTAAACTAAAGCATCTGGCGCTTAGAGTTTCACTCTAAACAGTTAGAGTTCAACAACGCCTTAAACGGATTTTCGCATTTTTAAAGTCTCGTTTGACGTCAAAAGTGCCGACGCCTTCGTTTAAGGCTATCTCATTAGGCACCTTGTGACCTATGACTCTCAGGGTAAGAGGTATCATTTATGTAGCATAATTCTTAAAAATAGCAGGTATTTGTAAATGGGATATTTTCAATGAGTAAAAGAGGTTTTTGAGAAAAAATTTCACTCTAAATTACCAGGAAGTATATCCCCCTTTTTTTTAGAAAGTCAAGGCTAAATTTATAGGTGGTACATGCATTCCTTAGCTTAACCTCATGAATTTAATCTCTTTTTGAAAATATGAAGCAAAGTGTGATAGATATTTAGGTGTGGGAGAAATTTTCAAAGAAAGCAGCAGCTGCTATGCAATTTTAATTTGAAATTGTCACAAATTATTACCATCTTCGTAGGAATTGATGTCCATGGACTTATATGAATAATGGTACCACACAGAGAGTGGGCCCTATCATTACTCTTAAATACATTAGTGCAAAATATGCTATTGATATTATTTATGCCAACAAAGAAATGGGTTTTGCGGGAAATATTTATCGCGAAAGAATTATTTCATTTGATTTTAAATCCTCACCTTGCATTTTAATCACTCTTTTGTTAATATTTCACTCGCTCTTTACCTAATGGCTCGTATTCGTTGTTAAAATGAGTGCGAAATGCCCCATTTGTATAATGAGGGACGCATTAAGACCGGATGGGACATAACATTAAATATGGTTCAGGTACGAGACGCGTGCAGACATCTTTTCTTTGCAAACTGTGAAAATCCATTTCAGGTCTAAAACGCGTCAACCGAGGCAGGTCCGTCGAATGAGTTGCAAAGGCTCGCTATTATGGGCGAAAAAGGTCCCCTCCTAATCAAAATTTAAACAAGAGTGTATGTTATTTCTTAAACTGGGTCAACTAAGGGTATGAAGTAGTCAAATTTTGCAGAAATGAAAAAAAAATCCCCTCTTTGAAATTGCTGGCTACAGGTCTCTTAGGGTCATTTTTAATCAGCAGAAATACTAGTAAGTGCGTCCGAGGCGGAAATGACGGAAAGATGGCGCCACTGCAGAGAGAAGGCGTTCAAACCTGGTGACGCGTTTTAAACTCATTTCTCTTTAAGTCATAAAGTATTTGAACGCGACTTCAAAACAAGTGGCCGGAACCAAGTTAATTAAAAAATTGTACAAGTATCATTGGTGAAGAACGAACCAGCGTATTGGAACATAGCACTTACTGCGTCTGTTTGTTAAGATTCAGAAAGAAAATATTAAATCACATTTATATTTAATGTTGGTACATGTAAAAACAAAGGATATCGTAGTCCATATAGAATCCTAAAGAATTCTTATAGTTAGGTTTCTTGAGGGAAGTTTGTTGGATTATGTCTGTAACTTGCCGCACCGGGAATTCTAGAACGTTCTATATACCGTATTTTTCTTTTTCTTTTTGAATTAAAAATAAATTACGTACACAATCATTGTACAGTGATTAATTTGACACACTGGTAACTGAAAATGGGAGCAGCTAGGAGTTGGTGGAGGTTTACAAGGTGTGTTAAGGTCTACCAACATGTAGGAGTTTGCATTATTCAAGTCACCTGTGAAATTGAAACCTTATTTAACATACGTATAAATAACGTGTTTTTTTTCTGGTGATGACGTCAAAGATCAGTAACCCAAGGGCCTCGGAAGAAGTATGGAGAAAGGCAGAATTTTTGTATTTTTTATACAAATTGGACTAGTGACGAGAAACGAAACTACACATACACGTACGTTCGTTCCCTACCAGAAAAAAAAAAAGAATTCATGATCGCTTTGGTTGCTTGCGTGGCCCTGTGACGTCTTTTAAAAGCAGGAAAGACATAAAGAATCGGCAAAAACATTCACAATATTTATTGTTTGAATAATACCATGTAGTATATTTTAGATCAAAAGGACTTTATCAAAATGCGTTGTCATCAATTAAGGAATAATAATAAGAATAGTTATTGACCATACAATGTACATGGCTAGCTAAATTTGCTTTCTCTAGATAGGCTTATAAAACAGAATTATCCTTTACTTAAAGACTAGATAACACAAGTAAAACAGAACGATTCGGTCCACCACCACCTTGGTCACGTGAATGGTGACTTTGCACCTTTGCTCTCCTCAGGGAATTATATCGGATTCCCTGCTCTCCTGAAAAGCCATATTCAATAATACGACGTTGGACAGGGGCGGATCCAGAGATATTTTCTGACAGTCTTCCAAATAATCTTTGTTAATTCGTCCTCAATTTTTGACCGTCTTCCGACAGAAAATATTAGATACCCGTAAATGTAAACTTAAAAATCTGACCGTCTTCCGGAAGACCCAGAAGACGGCCTAAATCCGCCCCTGTTGGAATACAGAGGTAACATGCAAAGTGATTGTAAAATACACAATTTACTGTGGATTAAGCAGCTTTACTGTACTAGTAGTATTCACTGTGCGGCAATTGTCGTGCACTTGTATATCTAATAATAGGTTGTTTGTTTCTGACATAATTGAAAATAGAATAAGAAGTGCATATAGTGGAATGTGTGGAGATGACACCCCAAGTCCAGATTTGCAGTCTTCTTCATCACATCGGAGTCAGCAATTGAGAGGGAAAACTTCCTGTGAGAGGGTCTCACTTTCATTTCGGGTCTTGTTTTGTTAGTTGGGCCTGTCTTGGAGGCACTGGTTGCCTAGGTGGCGGTATCTTGGTCAACACAACGTCAACACCCAAAAACTTCAGCGCGTGCAGCATGGTCTCCACTGGAAGCACACTGAAATAAGAAAAAAAAATAAAACCAATGTAACATGACATAGATAATGGCATATCACCCTGCTAGTCACTGCTTACTGATAACTCTCTCCAGCAGAGCGTCTTTCGACCCTAAATTTATTAGTTCATAGATTTAAAAGACATTTGAGTTGCCACTCGGAACCTCATATACCGGGGAGATAAAGCTATTCACTATATGTTTGTACCCTGCATTTATAGGCCTTAAGATAAAATAACAAAGCCCTGCATTCCTATTTATAGAGCTACGAGTAGTTCAAAGCATGCTGAAAAGATTGCTGTTCCCAAGCCAAATTTTTCTAGAAAATTCCCTCATGCAGAATCACAAATAAATCAAAACTGCAACCTTTTCGGATTTCTTTTCTTTTCTAGCAGATTCAATTACCTGATGTTGTCCTTCTATATTTATCACAATGATTACTATTAAAATAGACAAATTAACAAATATGATTGAATATTATATCTGATCTTCTATGATGACTAATGAAGTAATTAAAAAAATAATGACCAATTAATTGAATTGCAGATAACACAAAACAGAGTAAGAGACTTTGTAAATTAACTGATTAATGAATTACCAAGCAAGCCAAAGCAATTGCTGTGATTAGGTTTTAATCGTGTGCTTTGATACTGGCAAAGAAATTGTCCACACCAGTAAACTGCAGCACAGAGTAGATGGTTACTGCAGGAAGCATGCTGAAAGTAATTTAAGATTCATTCATTAGTTTCCCTACTTTTTTTGGAATTTCATAAAATTGCAATTAAGCTCTACTCCAAGCTAGTGCTGAATGTAGAAGTATTTATTTTAATTTGTCTCAAGGTGAAAATTCAAATCGATGCTTTTAATCACTGTCATGTACCTGTATTGTAAATTCATATTTTTTCAAACAAAAATGCAAAGCCGATTATGCAATGTAAAAATTAATAACTAAACTGAATAAATTATTCGACTAAAAAAAGGTCAAATTCACCTTCTAGCCACCCAAGTTAAATACTGCAACAGAGGAAGTATGATCATTCCTTTATTCTTCAATATGGCATCCACTGTTTCCATAGCAACATGATCTTCTTCCAGTGGAGGAAACAAATTAGGAAACCTGATAAAGAAATGGCATATTTTAATAAAATGTTACCAGAGCTACCTGATTAAGCACAAATAAAACAAAATAAAAAAACAAGTTTACAGTAATAAATAATTATCTCATAATTCATCAAATATTACCACAATGAATAGATTTGAATTCAGAAAAGTGTATAATGGTGACCAAATGCAGCAAGTTTTTTGACATTCCATTTGTCTGAGCTAAAAGAGTTCTGTGTTTAAATATCTCTGTATTTTTCACATCTTCCAACAATGGTTTCTTGAAGATACAATCATGTCATGTATACATCATATCATACCAGTACTTCAGTAATTTTTTTTTTGCACTGAAAAATAAAATCTAATTAATCAGACCTAGTTTGGGTTTATAAGAAGAATAGGATTTAAGAAATGGCATTGTGGCCTTTGGACCAGGTATAAGGGGAACACCCCAGTTAGAAAACTGAAAACAAAAATTTGCATTTACATGTAGAATGGAAATATATTAAATGGAAAAAAATTCTGAACAATTCTCTGCCCCAATGCCTTTAAACTACCTTGTCTCACATCCCTCAAACATCCTATTCTTGACCATATATGGATGTATGGTGGTCACATGGACACCTGCCACGCCCTTCTCATGTAGCTCCTCCCTCAGTGCCTCCATCATTCCCAGAGTGGCATGTTTGGAGGCGGAGTAATCCCCGCCCCTTGGGATGGTGGAGAACCCCAGGCAAGAGTTGATGTTCACCACATGGCCATGGTTGGTGCTGATCATTGCAGGCAGGAATGCTTTCATGGTCTGTGGGAAGAATTAAGAGACAATGTAACACATTCTCATCTAACACAATCTTGTGAGTGTGTTGTGCTTGTAAGAAAAATAATAGTTAGGGAAATGTAAACTATGAAAAGAAAGGGAATGGCTGAATGAGCTACTTGACAAGGGCTTACAGTATTGGTTTCATAGCTTTCAAATAAACCATAAATAAACTACTACCAGTAGCAGTGTTATCTGTTTAGGTTGATAAGTTATTAATAAATTAAGCAATAAATAAATAAACATTTTTTCTAAAACGAAAAAACACTTAAACCACACCATTCTGACCAAAAGATGTCTTAAAAGTGAAACCGACTTTTAACACAAATTCAAATATATATAATAAAATACTTCCCCTGTATTTCCTTACCCAACAATTTCCCAGTGTGTTGACCTGAACAGTTTTCTTTATATCCTCAAACTGGGCCTCCAGCACATGACCCCCCTTCACTATCCCAGCATTGTTCACTAAAATGGTGACTGGTCCATATTTCTCCTGTGTCTCTCTGGCCTAAAACACATTCAAATTTACAGGTGCTGTATATAAAGATTATTTGAAAAAAAAATTAGTATGCAAATGTGTATGTACTTTGTATTTTAGATGTTGGTGATTGTGTGTGTTTTGTAGCTGTGATGGTATGTGCACATTTCTTCATCTGTGTGTGTGTGTGTGTGTGTGTGTGTGTGTGTGTGTGTGTGTAACTTTTGCATCAGTGAGTGCATACCTGTGTGTGTATGTGGGTGTATGCATGCGCATACGTATGTATTCTGTTGAATATCACATACTCTTTGATAAACCTGTTCACAGTCAGAGACATCACATATCATAAAATCACAAGGAACTCCCAAAGCAGTCACTTCTGATGCCGTGACTTCCAATGACTCCAGAGAGCGAGCCCACAAGATCACCTGAAAGGAAAAAAAAACATGTCACCATGTTTAAAAAACTTAATTTATCTGACTAATCAACATGTCAAAAACATAAAAAAACAGTTGAACATTAGTACCACCAAAAATGAAAAAGTTGATGGTGTGGCTTTTTTGCAGTGACTCCAAGTTCAGCAATCAGGGGCACGTCCGAGTTTACATGATGTAAAGTATCCATGGAGGTTGGAAGTGCAGAATATGACTGGAGAAATTTAACCTTCACCCACAAAAAATATGGCCTACCAGTACATTCATAACATACATAAGTGCAATAACATGCAATAATGAAGAGAAAAAACAAAATTAAAAGCTATGAATTTATTGCAAACAATGAGTAAAAATGAGGTATTGCAAGTAAAATATGGAGTATACCATGTGTGCAGAAATGAATGAATGGGCTGATATTATAAATTTATGAATTAGTACATTTGTAAAAGAAAGAAAAATGATAAAGGTTAAACTGTGCTAATACGTACATGTACATGCATGTACACTGTGGACATACTAACATTATATACTGGTGCAATATTACGCTATATACAGATCCTCACTGATAGATTATCCAAAACAAACAAACAAAGCGGAAGTTCTGCAGCATATTTCAATGTCAGTCACGCACCTGTTTGGGCTGATACTTAGCAATCTCCAGGGCAATCTTCCTCCCTATTCCTCTCCCTCCGCCTGTTATGAGGACCACATCGTCCGCTATCGACTTCCTTGCCTGGCCCAGGATTCTGCCACGGAATGCGCAACATACTGAGCAAAATATCAGCCAGAGAAGCCGTGGAAACGACGGCTTCTCTTCATCAACCATTGCGCTCTAAATAGGTCAACTTAACTGGGTCAAGCTACTGTTTACTCAACGATCGCAATGCTGATTGTGTTGATAGCGTGTTTTTATAGAATGTCGAAACAAAAACAAACAAACAAATAAACAAATAAAGAAATAAATAAAAAATATAAATAAATAAAGTATATGTTCTGATAAAGGATTACATGTTCTGCGGATGGTGCAACTCAGACCAGTTCATTTCCGCAAAATAGATGAAGGGCTGAGAGGGGGGGGGGGTTTCGAGGGGTAGCAAAATAAATTTTCGACGGAAGGGGTTGCAAAATAAATAGGCCTTAACATTCGGGGTAAGACTGGAAAACAGATTTAAAGTAAAGTATGTAAACTATGAATTTGTGTTTATTGCTTACATCTAGAGTCAGGCATATAGTAGAAATCGTTATATATTTCATGCTTTTTCACAGCAAATAATGAGGGCTGGCGCTGTCGATAATTTCTCATCAATGAAGCACTGCAACTGTAAGTACCACAATGATAAATTGATCATCTTTAGATAATGGAGAATATGACGTCAGACAGGCCAGAAAGCATTTCAACAGCTCTCATGCATGAAAATTGCAGATTACACTTTGCACTTATTTAGCTGTTTTTTTTTGTTTTTTTTTGTTACAAAAAGCCAGCTGTTGTCTTCGTAAATAGGCTTCAAACTTCCTATGAGAGATAAAAAGCTAAAATTATAACGTTGCTATTTGCTCAAAATATGATGTGTCATCCGAATTCGTTTTAATTCCAAGTTCTTCATTCACCTTGTTTCTGGATGAAAGTGACGCGCAACGAATTCTGCTGCCATATCATTATTTTAACTAGGCATGTTTGCATGAAATTAATTATAAGTGCCTTTATCAAATTTTTGAGAAGGCCGCGAAACAAACTAATTTAGGAACGCGACGTTATTTCAGATCACACGCCTTGTGCCTTCCTATAACTGTAGACCTATTTGCAATTGGTTCGAATACAACATGTATATTTGATTGTGCCTATGAATCTGCATGTGTGACTGTATTTAACAGTGCCTGAGTCACTGACTGCGTTCATCACAGGGAATAAGGCCGTGACAAGAAAGGATGAAAAACAAGCACCGCGTCTCTGTTCCCTCTGTACACAATGTATCTACCTGTAGGTCGTTTTGTCTCTTTACCACACACGCGCTTTATGACAAGAAGGTTTAGTTACAAGCTAATCCTTTTCTGCCATTGTTTAGTCTAAAAATCGGGATAAACTACCTGTAAATTTTCAAATTTAAAAAGATGTTGAAAAATACTTTCGAAATACCCAGTAATATTCATGGCGTTGATATATTGACCTTTTTTACAGGTTCAAGCTTTATTTGAACTTCCATTGAATTCCGGTTGTTTTTAAAATTTTGTTTGATAATTATACATAACAAAAACGTCGTAGGTGGGTTTTATATCAATTTATTCATCATTTTAAAATGTAGTCAACGGAAATGTAACAAACGAAATATTCTATATTTTGTATCAGTTATGTTAATAGTAAGAAATGTTCTGGCAGCCATAGAATAAACAGATATCTTTGGTAGATACATTGTGTATGCCTTGAATTCTATAATATGAACATAAAAAATGAAGTAGAACAAATTGATAAAAACCTTTTTTAAATTAATCACAGCATTAAGATTTGGTCAAAAAGCAGCTATCAAGCATAAATATTATCTATTTATGATTAAGCATGCTTCAAAAACACTAGCAAACCATCAAAAGTTAAACTGAAAGTGTCACACACTTGAAGGCATTGCCTTCAGATTTCTGGAGTATATATAATGTAATATAATAGTTTCCAATTCTTATAAGTAATACGTTTTTTTTCTACATTCTTGTTGACAGATACCAATTGCAATGCCTTATCCAAAAGCAATCTTAAGTCATTTCTTCAGTTGACAGTCAGATACTTCTTAATGCATTACGCAACTGCAACTGCAACGTGTGTTTCTGTAAATTTCCGGTGCTTAATTTCAAAATTAACGCAAATGGCTGTGTTACGCTCACATAGAGTCTTGGATAAAGATATTAGAGTACTCATTCTAAAGACACATGTTTTGCCTCAAAGCAAAAAATAAAAAATAAATAAATAAAAAATAATAATAAAACATAAAAAATTGACGGGAAACGGGAGATACACAAGAAAGCGTTAAAATTACTCGTTTCCACGATACTATTAAAATCATGTTCAAATAAACACTGGAACATGCAGATCCACTTGTATCTGTGGTTAAACTAACATAAAAAAGGCTCCATATAAAATACAGACAGGTGTGTGCCAAGGATTATAACATAGGGTGCCACATTGCTCGAAAACATTCCCTCCCTTGTCAATGATTTTCTTTTTAGTAATAACTGAAATTCCTACATGATCGTCTTTTATCCATACAGGTTTGTTGAGTACTTTATTGCTACAGAAGGTTTTCTCACTTTTATCTGTTTTTTTTTCTATATAAGTATGTAAAGGTCAACGACACCCCCCTCAAAAAAAAAAAAAAAAAAAAAAAAAAAAAAAAAAAAAAAAAAAAAGAAAAAAGTGTGCCATTGACTCAAAGAATGATAAAATAAAACTAGACGTACGAAATATACGCATCTTTTTTTTCAAAATAATGTATTCATAGCAATTGTACTTATCCTCTCAACAAGTGTCAAATCAAAACTGGTTGAGAAGTAGTGAACGAAATAGGTAAATCATTTCCTGTCTACAATGATTAAATTGGATCAATATTTAAACAAACAAAAAGAGGAAATTTTGCAAAGTCTATTGTGAAAAAAAAATCGATCTTCTACCTGTACAACTAGATGTACATGTATGACTAAGACGAAAACGACCACCACGTCTTCTGCTGCTATTAATGCAAACCCACAACCAGTACTGCTACTACTTCAACAGCCTTAGCTACTACATGTACTGCTACTGCTGCTGCTGCATATACAACGAATTAAAGTGCTGCTACTACGAAAGTCACTTACTGCTACTTCTACTGGTGCAAAACCACGACCGCTTTTGCTACTACAGCCACTGCGAAAGCGACACGTTCTACTGCTATTGGTGCAAAAACCACGGCCTCTACACCTACTACTGCTTCTGCAAAAGTCATACCCTCTACTGCTACTGATGGAAAAGGCAAGGCTGCTATCGCTACTACAGCTTATGCGAAAAAACGTGTGAGTTTTACTGCTACTGGTGCAAAACCCACGACTATTATTGCTCCTGCTGTTGTCGTGGAAGCTTTAATATAATATAATGTCTTCTACTGTTGCTGGAGAAAAAAAACTGCTACTGCCACTTCTGCTCTTGCTACTGCTAAAAAGAACCGTTGCCACTACAAGCTACATAATGATCCTGTAAATGTTGCTTCCTTGGTCCTCCTGCCCCTCACTAATGCCACCGTTTCAGATACTGCTGATATAGTGTTAAGCTTATACTACACACTCCACTCTCTTCTTCTGTTCATTGATATGCAATTTCGTGTATCAATCACTTTGTCAATGCTGCTGCTAGTAAAGCGAATTCCTGACATTACGCATTTTTTCTCTTCAACGACTATAAGCTATTAGCAAAATTAAAATAAGCGTGTGTAATTGTTAGCGATTTGATCTTCACACTAAAACGAAATCAACTTAAACACGGTTTATCATCTTCACATCCCTCCTTCCTGTCGCTGTTTACTGCCATACAGAGAGTCTCATCTTCTCCCACAAAGATTTCCCGATGTCCAGAAAAGACAGCCACACGGGCATGCCATCTTTGGCCACAATTCTGTTGATCCAGGGCGCCATTTTGTACAGGAACCACACAGGCTGCAGAAGGCGATGGGCCCAGACTGGTGAGAAGGCCTCGGTGTAGCACGATGCCATGACGCCGTTCACAATAATGGTGCCACTCTTGGTGTGAGGGTTGTACAGTCCTTGCAAAGTCTTCATCTTGATCTTAGTAACGGCTGAAAGCTCCATGGTGCCATTCTCAGGAAGGTAGGTATATAAGGCATCGTCGACTTGCACATTCCTCGCAGGTACCATCGCCATCTTCCCATCTTGACCTTTAACATAAAGGTAGTGACCCGGGCTGTTGGATAGCTGCCTCTGGTTCTCAGTGGTGAACACAAGGAAGGAAGTCTCTGTATTGGGATCAGCATGGCTAAACATGAAGACCTCTTGATAGTCCAGCGTGCCATCTGGCAGAACAACTTGAACTTTATCTCCCTGTTGGAGATGCTCCATCTTTAAAACTTCTCCAGTCTCGAGGTTGCAAGTTGCGTCTTTAGGGAAACATGCTTTATCTTTTTCATAATGTTTTTCTATTATGTGGGTCACTTCTTTAACGACCGTTTCTTGTTTCTTTTCCGAAAGGGACTCAAACAATCGGTTCAACTTTTCTTCATCGATTGTAACCTTTTTGCCCTCAGCCGCTCCCGTCCCATCCTCCTCTTGTGCATTAGATAGAAGCGTTTCTTTTACGGCCAAGAATAACTCGTTTGTGAATAATTCACCATCGTTTTGTGCTACCAATTCGTGGATACCATCTAGCAATTTCCTTCTTTCATACTCCAAGTCCCTTGATAGATTGTCGCAAAACACAAATCTTTCCCCACATTTTTTGAAAAGTTGCTGGAACTCTTCAACTTGGCTGTTCATCAAATAATCATCCTGATTTTGGGTTGTTTGGGGGTACCGTTTCTGTTGCCTATAGTACTCATCGGCGTGAGTAACAACAATGATAGCAAACCTAAATAAATCTATGCCGAACATATTTTCCATATGAACAATGGCTTGGGCCTCTTCCGGTGTAAATCGTGAGCCGTACTTGATGATTATTAATATAACATGGTAACCGTCAGGAGATAAAAGCATCGATGAAGATATTGCCTCGCAAATTGTGCCGTGAGGTACCGAGGTATCAAAAACCCCTGGGGTATCCACAACTGACACATTACAATCTCTGTATCGAAATTCCTTTCTTTTGCATTCTTTCGTCACTGATTTTAATGTACTCCC